AGGCAAATAATAAGAGATTTCAAGTGAAGTTAGACACTGGAGCACAGTGCAATGTTCTTCCCAAATATATAGTCGATCATATTAATGCAGAAATCAACCCATCAAGTACCAAACGATTGATCAGTTTCACCGAAAATAGAATTTCTGTCATTGGGGAATCGATAATAAGATGTCAAGTGAAAAATCAAGGAGCTGACATAATTTTCAAAATAGTCGAAGAAGATGTACCTCCGATTCTCGGCCGCAAAACCTGTCATGAATTAGGTCTCATTGTGCGAGTGCAAGAATTAAAAAAATGCAACACTGACGATGTTTTCCAAGGATTAGGATGTCATAAAAATTATGCCTATGATATAGATTTCATCGATAATCCTCAATTCAAAATTCATCCTCCTAGAAGAATACCATATTCCATACGAGGTGAAGTCAAAGAAGAATTGGATAAAATGGTCAAATTAGGTGTCATCAAGCCAGTTAAAGAGCCAACTCCTGCGGTTAGTCCTTTGGTTATTGTTCGTCAGAAAGGTAAAATCAGGATATGTCTCGATCCTACCGACCTGAATAAAAATATATTGAGGCGACATTATCCATTGAAAACTTTGGAGGAAATTTCAGCACAAATCAATGGGGCGAAATACTTCACTCTCCTAGATTGCAGACGAGGATTCTGGCAGATACCAGTAACAGAACGCACTCAGAAGTACCTTACATTTTCAACTCCATGGGGACGCTTTTCCTGTACGCGAGTTCCATTTGGTATATGCTCAGCGCCAGAAGTCTTCCAAGAAGTGATGTGTTCTCTCCTAAAAGGTATACCGAATACGCAATGCTCTATGGATGATATATTGATTCATGCTGAATCTCAAGAAAAACTTAGACACGTCACTCAAAAAGTTATCGAAGCACTGAAAAATGCAGGATTGAAGCTCAATAAAGAAAAATGTGTATTCGAAGCTACGAAAATTGCTTTTTTGGGACATATTCTTTCAGGGAAAGGCATATCGATAGATCCACATAAAGTAGAGGCTATAAATAATTTGAAGATTCCAACAAATAAAACGGAATTACAAAGATTATTGGGTATTTGAATAAATTTATCCCAAATCTATCACAACTCACAGAACCTTTACGTATATTGCTGAAAAAAAACATAGAATTTCATTGGGATCACGAGCAAAATGAAGCTTTTATCAAATTGAAGCAACATTTTGCGTCTCCACCATTATTGAAATTTTATGACGTAAACCAGGACGTCACCTTGTCAGTGGATGCCAGTTCTAAAAGTCTAGGCGCAGCGCTTCTACAAGGTGGTCAACCTATAGCATATGCTACAAAAGCTTTAACCAAATCTCAAGTTAATTGGCCACAAATCGAAAAGGAAGCTTTTGCAATAAGATTTGGGTGCCAGAAATTCCATGAATATATTTATGGCAAAAAACTCACCATCGAAAGTGACCATAAGCCACTTGAATCGATTTTCACCAAACCATTACAATCCGCTCCTGCTAGATTACAAAGGATAATATTCGACGTTTTGCAATATTCTCCTAAGGTAATTTACAAACAAGGTAAAGATATACCATTAGCAGATATATTGAGTCGAGATTGTACTGATAGCGGTACTGAAACCAATGAAGATGATGAACTTGAAGTTCAGATCATTTTAACAGTTTCTTCCCAAGTGAAACAGGAACTGATTCAGGCCACTAGAGAAGATGAAGAACTCGAAAACCTGAAAACATTCATTCTGAATGGTTTTCCTTTGAGGGTAAGAAAAATTCCTGATTGTATCAGACATTACTTATGTTTTCGAGAAGAACTAGCTGAATATGAAGGATTGATATTCAAGGGCGAGAAAATAGTTGTTCCAAAATCATTGATCCCAAAAATGTTGACAAACATTCATAGAGGACACCTAGGAATTCAAAGCTGTCTGAACCGTGCTAGGCAAATATTGTATTGGAGAGGTATGAACACAGATATTGAAAACTTCATAAAGAAATGCAAAGTTTGCGAAACATCCCAGCGTGCAAATTATAAAGAGACAATATGTTCAAAAAAAGTTCCAGATCCACCTTGGCAAATAGTGAGTTCAGATATATTTACATTCAAGGAAAAAAACTATCTGAATATATATGACAGTTACTCCGGGTTTGTGGACTTCAAACCTCTCAAATCATTGACCTCGATGGAGACAATCAACTATCTGAAAAATTGGTTCTCTGTCCATGGCATTCTTCAGATATTGGAAACAGACAACGGACCACAATATTTTTCGAGAGAATTCAGAGATTTTGCCACGCAATGGTCATTTCAACATTGTACTAGTAGTCCTTACCACCCAAGAGGAAATGGTTTAGCTGAAAGAGGCGTGCAAATTTCGAAAAACATTTTGAGAAAGTGCTATTTGGATCAGTCTGATGTTCAACTAGCTTTCATGAACTATCGAAACACCCCCCGAAGTAATCTGGGATCTCCAAATCAGCGACTTTTTAGTAGAATTACACGAAGTCTGATCCCGATGACTGAAACACTTTTGAGACCTAAAGTTATAGAGAACGTGACTGAAGAATTGACAAAACAACGGCAAAAACAGAAGAATTACGCAGATTATCATGCAAAAAAGCCTTCCGAACTTGAACGAGGAGATAAAGTACGACTCCGTGTAGATCATCGTCAATGGAAAGGTGCAGAAGTCATTGGACAGGGTGATAACCCAAGGCAAATCATTGTCAAATCCACTGATGGTCATGTTTACCGACGTAATACTAGCCAGCTACATAAAACCAAAGCAGACTTTTCTCAAGATAATATTATAGAACCTGCTGAAGGACATTCAAATCTACCTTCTTCAAATGGAATGGTACCTGCTAGAGATTCAGTCGTGCAACCCAACCAAATGATTACAAGATCTGGCAGAATTATCAAGCCTGTGAAAAGAATGAATTTATGAATCTCATGTTCTTTTATGTATTTTGTTTTTTCTCTTTATAGGGGAGATGTAACATTATCATCAGGTATATTAACATTTACCTGTCGTTAGTGTCTAGGATACTGCTACTGTCAGTAATAGACTTCACAATTTATAAATATATTGTCATAAAACGTGTATTATAATTCTCACAAATATAACGTTACATACCTAACGTAGAAAATGAACGTTACAAATCCTTACCCTGTCTTCAAGTTTCTCGCGATTTTGAGGTCAATTATGACCCTAAACTTTATTTTTCAAGTGAGCCCAAACAAATAAATCCATTGGCGTGAGGTCTGGTGACCTTGGTGGCCAACGAACTGGGCCATGAGTACCAATCCAATTGTCGTTGAAAGTTCTAGTAAGATGTTCTCGTACTACATTCGAATTATGTGGAGGTGCTTCATCTTGTTGGAAATACATAACGCGACGTGTCGCTAAGGGAATGTCTTCAATAAAATTTTGAACTTCACCATTTAAGATTTGTAGGTACCGTTCACTTGTTAAAGCTCCATCAAAAATAATTGATCTCACTATTCTGGTTCCAAATATTCCTAGCCAAACATTGAATCCGAATCTATCCTGGTGTCTTCCTTCTCTGAACACATGCGGATTTTCTTGTGCCCAATAACGTAAATTATTTCTATTGAAATGACCATTGTTTGTAAAGCGTGCTTCATCACTGTATAGAATATTGTAATGGAAATTTGAATTTTCTGTTTCTTTTTGTATAACCCAGTTACAATGCTCAATCCTTTTCTGCGCATCATTTTCATACAAATATTGATGAATTTGATATTTGAATGAACGATACCGGTGTTTTTTCAAAATTTTTCGTGCTGTTTCTCTAGGTACCCCGGCCTCATATTTGATCTGCCCTAATGATGTATTTGGATCAATTTCAACCGCTGCTAGAACAGTGATCTCCGTATCTTCGCTTACAATAACATGTTCCCCATCATGATTTTTCCGTTCTCTTCTGAACTGTGACCCCAATATTGCAAAATAGTTTCTACTACTAGGGTGCGGACGGTTAGGATACCTCTCCTGGTACAGACGCAAGGCTAAATAGGAATTTTTCCTTGCTTCTCCATATTATTATATCAACAACATATCAACCTTTTCAGTTTGGGTAAATCGGTAGTAGTTGTTCATTTCACAAATGATTTTCTTAGACAATTCAGAACATTCGAAATGTCAACAATTTGGCGTGAACACAACAACAGAACAATTCAACAAATTTAATCCCATAGCCAACTAACATGAAGTTGAATTGTTATATACAAGGTATAGCATGGAAATTATCTTCATAAAAAATAATTAGGAAACAAAATTGTAGAGGTTTTTTCATTTTTTGTATTTCAATATGTATTTGACTTTCTAACCAACATTAAAAATTATTAGTCTAAAAAGTTTGGCCATGAATTATTGTTACTTACATAATATTGTTCAATCTTCCACAGCATACTTTCATGAAAATGTTCCGTTACGCGGGGACCACAAAAAGTAATTTTTTTATAAAATGTCAATTATACCAGCAGATTGTGAGTTGAAAGTATGATTGTGATATGTCATTGTAAAGGTAATTCTATACCGAATTGTAATTTTCAAAAAAAAAATACTTCCCATTTGAAATATAAAATCTGGATGCGCTTCCGGTAAAACCGGAAGTGTCATAATTGGATTGATACTTGCTAAATTGTACATTCATAACATCAAATCGAAGTACCGAATTTGAAACATCCATATAAAATAATAACGAAGATACAGGGGGGTAAATTGGTTCCGGGACACCCGGTATATAATAATAGGTTTCCCTTAATATCGAGAAAACATCATCGATAACTTGAAAACTATCGAAGGTAGTCGTAGGAAAAGGCTTATGAAGATAATCTTAAAATCACATAAAAATCTTATCGTGTGGATGTTCACTTCCGTAAGTGCCGCCATCTTGAGATAATTATCATTGAACAGAACCCAATCGATATCCCCTGTCCCCTGTGTCCAAAATAAAGAATATACTGACCTCCTGAGGCGGTACATCGAAAGATATCGTCCTCAAATCCACTTTGCAGTAACTGTCCATGCAGGGCAACACAAAAAATATTCCCGGCCCTCTGGCACCCCCTGTCCGGAGCCTGCCCAATCGGAATATGACAGCGCGTTCATATTCTTGCACCACCTGAAATGTTGATCGAATATGAAGAAAGGTTCCTTCAATGGGGAATTTTGCTCTAGGTTGCCAACCAAAGAACCTCTACCTCTGTAGAAGTAATGTTATGAGAGTTTGATTACTCGAATAGCTTTAATTTGGTGCGATTTGATTGTAGGCATCTACTCAGCTTTCGAATGAAAGTTATTCAGAAGAAAAATTAGTTTTTGTGAACTTCACATCTTACTCGTTGAAGATCATGTTGGTGCATCTGCGATACGTCAATACTGAAATGTCGATACTTTCAATAGTGTCAGTAGTGTCACGAGTGAAAAATGGTATATCATCCAGCACTGACACAACGATTTGCTGCCAATATTAGATCCGTTCGGGCTGCTATTCCAATTGATGTCATCAATACGTACTTTGACAATTTAGAAAGATAATTAGAGGGATTCCCACCAGAAAGTATTTGGAATTATGACGAATCCAACCTATCCGACGACCCAGGCAATGAAAAATTCATCACAAAACGGGGTTGCAAATATCCTGAACGTATTCTAAACTCATCCAAACAATCTACAAGTGTCATGTTTCGCTTTAGGCACAGTTTTGTCTTCTTACGTAGTTTATAAAGCTAAAAATATATACGATACTTGGATGGAGCGGGGGCCAGATGGAACCCGTAATAATCAAAGAGCGTGTGGTTTGAGGCCCCGATATTTGAAGACTGGTTTGTAAATCTACTTCTTCCTGTTTAAGACATCTAGAAAAAAAAAATGAAGTATTGATTGGCGACAACCTTTCTTCGCATCCAAGTTTACATGTTTTGGACCTTTGTTCCCAAAATGGCATTGAATTTATTTGTTTACCACCTAACACCACACAGATAAGTCAACCACTCGATATCGCATAATATTTTCGTCCGCTGAAAATGAAATGGATGCAAATCATTACAAATTATAAACTAAGTGGAGCAAATCACAATTCCAAAATCAGTCCTTCCACGTCTGCTCAAATCATTGACAGATGCCTTATTAGAACCAGGCAAGGAAAATTTAATGAGTAGATTTGAAAAAGCAGGAATTTACCCTGTCAACAGAGTGAAAATATTAGAACGAATATCATCAAAGAAAATCTTGATCCTAACGTCCAATTGAATGTCAGTGCCTCCATCATTGACCTACTTGAAGAAAGAAGATTCGCCGGTGCAGAAGAACGAACACTCAGAAAAAAGTCAATGTTATACCCGGAAGAAGTATGTCAATCGGCTACATTCAAAAACAACCAGTTGCGGGTCCAAGTGGGGTTGAAAAAAATAAATCTTCATGCCCCACCAAAAAAACTAGGACAATGTCCAGTGACTCCGACAGCTCTGTTAATATTTTCCTTCAATCGGAGGAAGACCAGGACTTGAGAGAACTTGAAACTGAAATCGAAGACACACAAGAAGATACAAGAACTGAAAAATATATATCCTGGAAGTATCGTGGACATTCTTCAGGAAGAAGTGAAGCAATATATAATAAATTCTCTCGCAGCTAGCGGATTGCTTCATTGGAAATGGCCAAGCCAGACGACGTAGTACGCAGAAGAAGAGATTTTGCAGGTCATAGAGTCATAGAGACACCTATTTTATCCAAGAGAGGTTTCTTCAGAATATCAAAAATTGAAAAATACGACTCTCCTTAGCTACTTTGGAGTGTTTTTTTTTAACAAAGAATGATATTTTATTCAATTTTTTATCCAAAGAATGTTAATTTTAGTTCGTATCATTCTTAAACCAAAGAATGTGCAATAAAAGCCATCATAAAACATTCAGTTTTTTTTATTATATGCCCAAAAGTCTTAAAAAACAAGACCTATTCGACGATCATACCAAAGGCCAGAGCCACCTATATCTGTGGGTGTTTTCCTAATAAAACAATGTGTGACCAAAATAACCTAACTTTGTTTTCTGACTTTGGCAACCCTATTTTCAAAGAAAATAATGGATTCAGGAAGCCTTCAGGTTTTTGCCAATTTCAAAGTTGAAAGTACTGATATAGACCTACAAAATAACACCAAGAACAAAAATTCATAAAGTTATAACTTCACAAACGATAAGATTGCCACAAAATTCTCAAACACACGACATATATCGGTCAGACAGGTCGTACGTTCAATCAGCGCATTCATGAACAAAAGATGAATTTTACGAAAAAGAAAACAAATTCAACTTACGCCGACCATATATCAGAAGAAAACCATATAGTTTTGATGATAATTTCGAAATGCTACACGTAGAAAATAAAGGACTGAAACTCAATCATTTTGAATCATTAGAAGTCAACAAACTCAAAAATTTTGACATTTTACTTAGTGATCAATTAGACCTCAATAGTTCACCACTGTTGAATTTGTTTTCTTAGTAAGTAATAATATGTCTTTGCTATCAACTCTTTCAAGTTGATCCGGTATACCGTATTTTAATGTAGATATTGTGCCTAATTTCTGTATATGGAGGTTTATCGTACCTGTCCACAGGTAACTAATCCTTCAGGTTGGGAAAGTAGGATATATAAAAGTCAAGCAAGCCAATGTTAGTTTAGTATTGTACCAGTATATCACCTGACGAAGCTACTGTGTTAGCGAAACATGTCGTGTGTTTGAGAATTCTGTGGAAATCTTATCGTTTGTGGAGTTAAAAAAAAATTCATAACATTTGGTTTAAAAGTTATGACAATGTAAAGTTCAAAGGTGGACCAATCACCCAAGTTTACGTATTGGGAAAACATGGTAGCTTTTTTATCAATACAAATGCCTGTTGATTTGTTGGTTTTACGAAATTGAAGAAATCTTAGTGGTTCTTGGAATAGGCGTGTATATCAATCGCTAGAATTCAAATTGAATTTATCGATTATGTATTCGTTTTTTCATTCTCTTGTTGATGGTAGATTTCATAGGAAAAATCTGGATTTAGTATACTATTTTGAATATTTTACTCACTTTGAAACACCAAAATAACGAAAACGGCATGGTAATTATTAATATAATTATCGATCCTAAAGTGGCAACGAACTCTACACAGCTCATGATGGTTGGCTTTTCTGAAAAAAAAATAGCAATGTTTTAGATCCGTGATTAAATGTTTAGATGCCGCGGGTGATCCGGGACATATTTCCGTACCCCCTTATACATATTTTCATGCACATCATCATGCAACAGACATACACTTCTAGCACTATAGTTGCACAAATAACTATTGTCATTGTCTATAGTGTTTATCTAGAACACCGTAGAAAAGTCGGCGACCTTCCACTTTTCTATAGATATACTTCCACGGAAAATGTTTCCCAGAAATCTCTGTATTACAATTTCATCCTCGATTTTATCAAACTTTTAATAGGAATATCCGTTGGCATTATATGAAAAAACGTTTTTTTTCTTCGGACATAATATGCGGAATACGAAATTTTCACAAGAGTAACAAAATGAAGATAATTAATCATTCATTTTGCTCAAATAATTTGAGAACCCTATTACCACTCCTAAGAATTTTGGAAAAAAAATGTCAGGAGGTGAGGGTGGTTTCAACCCTTATACAAAAAGAAGGGTTATACTCTGAAATGCACCTTTGTCAAATTTCATCCAATTTGTTTCACTCAATTTTCAACAGCGCACAAATAGTGGATTTGTGTTATTAGGATCAAAAGTGACACTTTGTTTGACAAGCAAGCATTTGCGAGGCGGATCGTCTAGCGTCTAGCAGTATCAGAAACGTCAATTCAGGAGCTAATTTTTCAAATGGACGTGCCGGGTGAAGGAAAAATATATTCTCCATCACTGGGAATATCAGTCAGACGAACTTGACACGCCCAGTCAGCACATCTCTTCATCGTTAACCTTGAAAAATGTTGAACAACACTCTACCGAAACTCGTTCGTCTATAGAACGGCAAAGCTTTGGAATTCTTTGCCAATGGACATATTCCCAAGAACTTATACCCTCCAAAAGTTGAAAAAAAATTCAACACCTACTTCCATTATTGGAATTTCCAAGTGATAAAAATAATCTTCGGATAAGGGTAATAGAGGATGAATTGAAAAAAAAAACCAAACCCCTGTTGGCGGGAGACGGGATTTATTTTCGAAAACGGTGCCGCCCTATCGAAATTTAACGGGTATATACAGGGTGTTTTACAGTAGTTGTGGTGACAAAAGACTATGGAAGGTTTCTCTCTACAAAATATGAAGAAAAGTTCATATGAACATTGAACATGGTTTAAAAAAAGAATTTTTATTAATATATTGAAAACGTTCAAACCGATTTGAATCAAACCTCTATGGTTCATTTACACAATCATCATCAGACATTTACTGGACCATTTATAGATTTGATTCAGAATCTCCAGGGACGTACCCATCGAGAAGGTAGCCTTTTTGTGTAAAAAAAAGCACTCTCGGCTTTGCTCGCAAATATCCAAATGAACCCGCTAAATGTAAAAAATGTCTGCCTTCTGTTATTTCTTCGTTTCTTCCTCTATTTTCAAGGAAAAAGGACGAAATACCATACCTCGGTATATCTTTCTGAACGCCATAAGGCTTAGATAATATCCAAAAATTTATTGCACATTATTATTAATGAAAACAAAGAAGATATAAAATTCAATACCTCCTCTGGAATGTAAACAGGGTGATTTTAAAATAAGTGCATATATTTTAAACACTGAGAAAGCTTGAGGAATACTACCGAATAGCACTATTAAAAATATTATTAGGATCAAAATAGATTTGGGGCAAAATACCCTTTTTCCGCCCAGATTTCTACTTCTGTCACAACTATCGTTTGCGATCCGCAGTCGACCGTGATGAACGAAGCGACGTTGCCACTCTACATGAAAATTAGGAGATATTAAATAAAATGTATAATCGAGAAAATGTACATGGGGAAGAAGTTAACCCTGGTCTTGAATTTCAGAAAGATAATACAAAAACTTTAAAATGGACTCACCCAAGATTTCTACACATAAGCTTGAATAGCGTATAACTTAACACCTCACGGTTGGAAGTTCTTTTACTGAAAAATCCTCTAGACCCTTCCTTCCACCTCCTTGCATCGCTAAAATTTCGTGTCCTTCGAGGAGTCTCATGGGCCCCGCATAATAACGACCCGACATAAGAACCATATCATTCAGCTCAATGTTTGAGAAATGCATCGTCACATTCCAAGCAAATTGTCAGAAACAAAACTTTACATTCACTAGTATCACGTTTTGACGTTTTCCAAAATAACATACATTCTCAGAACAACAAACTGTCAAGAAAGGATCTTTGTTTTGATTGTTCTTATGGTGTGCTACCAGCAAGAATTCAGATGACCATGAATTACTAATAGGTACTTTTACGGACAAATCAGAAACAGCAAAGTAGTGCCTGCGTGGTTGCGATTCATCCTGATTGGGCACAGGTGATTGAGATTAATGTATTAGTGAGGAAGGATCATATCTTTAAATGAAACTACCATTTCCATAAAAAACTAATTTGGAAAAAAACATATATTAGTTCAATTCAATGAAATGATACTTCCTCACTATACACTAATCTCACATCCAATCAGCTGTGTCCAATCAGGATGAATCGCAACCACGCAGGCGCTTTTTGCTGTTTCTGATTGGTCCGTAGAAATCGCCTATTAGTAATTCATGGTCATCTGCATGCGCAGTTTCACAGAACTGTATGATTTTTTTGAGTTCTGTGGATTGTTTATTTTCTGAACGCGAACAATCCTAGTTAGTACTGTCAAAGGTCACAGCAAAGAGGAAATCTATGGTCACAGATACTACTGTTCTGAGAAATGATGTTGCCAGATCATATGATAATAGTTTTGTTTGTGTGGTTGCTGGTTTGTAAAATAATTGAAAACGTAAAATAAAAAAATAAAATAATTGGATGTTGTGTCTTGTGTCGTGATAATCGTGATATGGTCGTGATCGTGCTTTTCAATGTGAGATTGCCAGGAAGGAAATGTCGTCGTCGAGTCGTTTTCGATGGTTTAAGTGCGAATATGAACCAACAAGAACACAGGACGATATTAGTCTGGAATGGACTCGATATTAGTATTTGTTTGCTCTCGGGAGTTTTGCTGTTCGAGCAGGTATGAGAAAATCTACTAGGTGAGTCGATTTTCAACTTTGTGTATGTTGTGTACCTATTTATTGTCTGCTAATTTTGTATCTACCTGCTGGGGCCTTATTTTCGAATTGAAGGAAGGGGGACGTTCTATCATTCCCCTCATGTTTCTCTCCGTCTCTCGTGATCCATGGAGATAATCACCCCACAGTTCTCTCAGTAAACTTTAAAAAATGAGGCTCCTGTACATATTACATTCACCTCTATTTCCATAACCTATTCCAATTCATATTCATTCTGTGACAAATTTTCATCAGGATATTCGTCTCTGAAACAATCTGGCATCACTGTCTTGTTTTGACGTTAGTGAATGACGAATTGGGGATTCCCAGGGGTTCCGCAGATTTCACTTGCTTCCCAGTGGTGTACTCGAATTTCGAAGCATTTTATGTTCAATTTTCAAAATGAAATTTCTCGTTAATGTGAAGACTTAGGAAAAATCAAATATTTTAGTAATTTTTGTTAGACTCTCTCATATATATGCCTTGAATATATGCACTCATTTTAAAATCAGCCTGTATAAGATCTCTAAATTTCGTGAGGAATATTATTTCAAGATAAATAAAAAACTATTTTTGTTTTCTAACTTGGACACCTTACATCCCGGAAAAGAAGCATTCTCGAACCCATGTCCGTATGAACTTTTTTTCATATTTTGTTGGGAGGAATCTCAACGAGGCTTTTGTCATCACAACTCTGTATACTTATTCGATGAATTTTCAACAGAAATATCACGATGTTGAGATATTCCTTCACAATACAATTGAGTTCACAATGGGAGACAGAATTTTCAGAAGGTTTCCAGAACAGAGTGGTATTCTGCTAAACTATTTCACGAAACTTAAGAAGCATTTATTATAAATGAACGAGCCATTTAACCGAAGCGTCATTCTGACATTTACGGCTATTATTAATTAGTTTGACGACCACAAAAATGCACTGGAAAAGTTGGTAAAAGTTTACAGAAAAGTGGAAAAGTTTGCTAGTTGGAAATTGTGGACATTTTGTAATTTTAGTACGGCAGAGGCAGTATGTGAGTATCCAGCCACTGTTCAAATGATATCAGCGATATATTATATAGTCGTCATATGATATATTTCATGAATATTCATAATAAAACAAAACACAAAAATCTGCGACGCTAGAAAAACGGGAATATTCACTTCACTCACAAAATAGTGGCAGAACTATTCTGTAGTTGAGCAAATATTCGCAGGTAAAGAGTCCCAGCCATCTACTAGTTCAAGTACAAGGAAAGTTCATTATTCCAGAATTTTTGGGATTTTTTCCTCGTTTCTATAAAATAAAATAGTTATTTATTATACAAGGGAAAAAAGTAGTAGATTTTAGCTCCAGGTTGTGTTGTCTCCCGACGCGTAGCGGAGGGAGACAAAAAACCGTGAGCTAAAATCTAATATTTTTCCCGTGTATAATACACTATTTTTTTCTGTGACAGAAGGAAGGACGAATCAATATTGAGAAGATATTACATTATTTCGAAATCTGAAAATTATCGACGTGAAATTTCAAGTTTTTAACAGTAGGGACACCTGCGTTTTATAGACATCTTTATCATTATTTTGAAGTAATCAAATATCTGATGTCACTTCTGTCAGTTCAATTCTGTGATTCGATTTTGAAAAATTGCGAATTCAGTAGTTGTTTAGTATTATACGAAACCGCGAAGTCGAATGGAAGATAAAAGGACTTGCAGTTCTTTCTCGGAGACGGTATTATTGACTCATTTTTCGGAACTATAGCACAACAAAAGCCATTAACAGAGTATATATATGTGATATATATCCGGGAAAAAAGTACTCACTTTTTTCCCACGGGAAAAAAGTAATTTATGAAAAGTGACATTTTATAACCTGCCAACAGAGATGAAATGCCAAACTTTTTTCCCGTCACAGAAAAAA